CNTTTTCTTTCAGTTACTTGGTATTACCATGTTTTTAACACCCAATCCTCACAATTTTGATGGTTTAAATGGAGATGAAGTAATGGTTAGTTTGGCTGAAAAAAGTTTACTTTGACTTAGAAATGCTATACGTGCTTAATATTTTACCTTATATTCGCGAAAATCCGAATTCCTCTCCCCGAAATGTTGGAAAGCGTTTTAGGTTTTTCAAAAAATAAAATTCGACATGTACTCTGGACTTCCAATTTTAAACCGTATCACTGGATCATCGTGGATTTGGGAGGCTGAAGAAAAAGTTCTTCCAAACATCCTATGAACTGATGGATCCAAGTTCACTTGTAGCGGCATTCTAAACAATTAGAATTTTCAAACATTTTGCATTTTTTGACCAATTTAAAATCAGATTGCACCACTGGTTTTAGCATAAAAAATTCTTTAAAGAGATGTGTCCGAGTGTAAATGGTTGTATTTGAAATTTTGAAGTTGAACTAGGCTTGAGGTACCCTGTACAACTGTTCTTCAGCAAAAGGTAAAAATTTGAAATGGAACTAACAAATACTAAAGGCGTATTTTTTTTTGTATAATAAGCTGCCTTCTGAAATAAAAATGTACCAAAATTGTGTAAATTTAAAGTAATGTACAAAAATTATTTAATGAATAAACATTTATAATTAAAACAAACCTTTGTAAACAAGGATATATTTTAAAAAGGTATTATCAATGATTAAAGTTTTTTGCTATTTAGTTCTGAATTTGTCAACATTACCATTTATTTCAATTAATTATTCTTTTAATGTAAGGTCATGATTGGCATAAAAAAGTCAGTATCACGAGCGGGATTCGAACCCACGACTTTCGGCTCAACACGCCGCTGTTCTACACTTGACAATTTATCTAATTGTGTATAAATTTATTTTTTTGTCTTTGTTTAATGTTTTGTATTCTGTTTTTTTATTAGTTATTCATAAAAGTATTGTTAATGATTATAATAATAAGTTTTTGCATTTTACTAAAATGTCATAGATTTGAATTTTTATAGCTAAATTTGACCTACATAAATAACACTTATCAACGTACCATTTGTTTGTTTGTTTTATTTTACGATTTGCTTTTTCCTTTTTGATCCGCATTTTCCACAAATTTATACACTTACATTAAAAATTAAAAATATATATAACAATTATGTCAAATTCATAGTAAAATCCAAGCAAAAACATCTTTTTCTTCATTACCAATTATAATTGTAAGATACAGTGTAAAAAACCAAAGGAGTATAAATAATAAAAAATGTATAATTGAAAATGTATAACTAACGTTAAGTGAAAAAGGTAGTAACTTAACGTTAACTCTCTCTACTTCTCTCTCTCTCTCTCTCCCTCTCTCTCTCTTTCTCTCTCTTTTCACTTCTGTCCTTCTCTTCCTCTCTCTTTCTCCTCTCTTTATCGCTTTCTCTTTCTCTTTATTATCACTTTCTTAACCTCTCTCGTACACTTTCCTCCATCTTTACTTTTTTCTTTGTTGTCTATTTGGGATTTTCTCATATAGGAATGTTCTTTTGCTACTCCCCGCCACTTCGCTTAAGAATAAAGTTGGCAGCTTTGTGGAGATTGGGACTGGGAAAAGATTGAAAAGAAATCGGAGGTTAACTAGTCAAAATTAACTACCCTTTTTCTCAACATTTTTGATTCTCCAGATCCGATTCAATTTTTTACACTTTTTTCCTCTCTTCTTGAATTACTTCTGGGTTAGCTCTATATCAATGTTGATCCTTATTAGTGAGTTACCTTTTGCATCTTTAAATACTCCCAAACAAGTTGTCAGCAAAGTTCGTCGTGAAGAACTCGATGATGAAATATCGGACCTTGCATTGTTATGAGATGTAGAAACTTCAACGGACTAAACGCAGAGACAGAACACTCCCAGGGATTCGTTTTATCGACAGTATCTTTGAAAATATTCGATCTTATATCCTAAAACAGCTTGGATTAGATTGTGAGGCTTATAGTCAAATTAAAACGTAAATAAATTCACCAATTTTCGTGGTACGCTTGACCAATTAATACATGACAATTATTTAAGGTTTTTAGTTGAGATGAAAAAAAGTCATTGTCACGAGCGGAATTCGAACCCACGATCTTCGGCTAGATACGCCGCTACTTTACCACTTGAGCTATCGTGACTTCGATCCACTCGGACTCTACTTCCCATCTCAACCATTCAATTTGCCGCCGAGAATCAAATAGATTTCACGACATTTGAAAAAAAAAAGCAAAAAGGAGGGAAAATTCAAAAAGTGGGGTTGAGATGAGAAGATAGTGCCCGAAGGTCTAGCCGAAGGTCGTGGGTTCGAATCCCGCTCGTGACACTGATTTTTTATCTCAACTAAAAACCTTAATAATTAAATCGTACAATTGAATCGCTGCAAGAGTCGTTATCTCTGAATAGAGCTATTGATAGTCACAATTATTTTGACGATAATGTCGGGCAAATATTTATTAAATTACCCATCATCAAAAAGATCGGAGATTTGCTTAAAAAGTGACTCGCCCCTATTCTCCGAATAATTTCACTGATTCCAGAAAAACTGGTTATAAAAAGATAAACAAGAGACCAACAACGTGCAACGACCCTTGGCTCGGAAATCGGGAAGATATAAAGGAAAAACGGGGAAAGGCTTTGGAATGCAATATCTCACCCTTTGCGACGTCTACACCAAGACGGAATGGTTAACGAAGCCGACAAAAGGGATATTTAAAACGTTATAAATGTACTAAAAGCAAATTGTTTATTCATTCTTGCTTTAAAGATCTCTTTTCTGTTTGAAAACAAGAATTCATTCAAAAGTGAATCAAGAATCGGCTTAAATAGTTGAACAGTCGTTGAGATTGTATTATTTACACGTCCTGATAAAACATTCATATTTCAATCTCATTTTTTCCCATTTTTTTTCAAGATCAAATAAAACACTGAATTGATGTATTCATAATTAATTATTTTTTCCAGAACGTGAAAATAATCCAGTTTGTTTTAAACGCCCGATTTTATATTCATAAAGTTACACAATACGAGATTCTATTTTCATAAAAATAATAGAGAAAATTTTAGATAAATATATTAAACATGATTGTGGAATTAATACTATGAAACATCCCAATCAGCATGCCTATTTACCAGGAAAATCAGTGGAAACTGCTTTACATTCACTGATAGGCAGGATTGAGAAATCATTACTTAATAATGAATATACACTAGGCTGCTTCTTCGTTATCCAAGGGGCGTTTGATAATGCTGATACTTCATGCATTGTATCAGCACTAGATAACTGCAATGTTGACCACCATCATGGGTGAAGACCTACTTGGAGGGAATGATGGTCAATATGTGCTTAGGTGGTAGCACTCTCAGAATTAATGTCAAAGGAGGCTGTCCACAGGGAGGTTGCTTGTCACCTCTTTTATGGTTAATTACAGCAAACAGTTTAATAGAACTTCTGAATAATTCAGGTTTCTACAGTCAATTATTTTCAGATGATGGTACCATTATTCTCACGGGTAGGGATCCCCTGAATTTCACTACTGATGGAAGATGCCATGGGATTGCTATTTGAGTGGTGTTGTGATAAAAGTTTATCAATTAATGCGACTAAACTGGAATTGATAATGTTTAGTAGAAGAACATTAGGTAATTTTAAAAACATTGCATGCCTCTCTCACATTCACTCTCACTTTTTCTCCTACTCTGTAAAATTATTTTTTATTTATTTTAAACAGAATGGTAACAACATCAAAAACTTTCATGCCCATTTTATGACAAGTCTAATAAAACAAGCAATAACACTTTACTCTCACTCTTTCTTTCCCTCTCTCACACACTTTCTCGCTCAACCTCCCGTTTATATTTTTTTTTTAACTTTTACTCCCTTTATATCTCTCTACCACTCTATCTATGTTTACATATTTACCTATCTTTGCATCTATCTTGCTCGCACCCTCTCATTTTTTTTAAATATTTTTTTATATTTTTTTCATCTTTCGGCCTTGAGATTCTTAATTATTAAATTCACTAATTTCGTGGTCCGCTTGACAAATTAATACATTACAATTAATTAAGGTTTTTAATTGAGATGAAAAAAAGTTAATGGCACGAGCGGGATTCGAAAAATGGCAAAAAGGAGGGAAAACTCATAAGGTGGGGTTGAGATAGGAAGTTGATGTCCGAGTGGATCGAGGTTACGATAGCTCAAGTGGTAGAGCAGCGGCGTATCTAGCCGAAGATCGTGGGTTCGAATCCCGCTCGTGCCATTAACTTTTTTTCATCTCAACTAAAAACCTTAATTAATTGTAATTCTTACTTATACACTTTCGGTTTTGCACGCGCAAAGTCACCACCATACTCTTAAACTCATCGACTGCCTTTATCTCATTTCGTGCTCTCTCACTCTTTAAAATTATTTTTTATTAATTTTATATAGAATGCTAACAACATCAAAAACAAAAATTTCATTTTATGACAAATGTAATACAGCAAGAAATAATACTATTTTCACTCTTTCTTTCTCTTTATTTGTTACATACCCGCATCTATCTATCTAACTCCATATCTCGACCTTTCTACTCCACTTTCCACCTATCGAAAAAGTCTTATTAGACCTAAAAAATCTCTCCAAACTAATGTATAAAGGCAATATTTATTGTTGTCCAGGAAAAATATTCACTCACTTCTTTATAGTGTAAAAAAGAACTGTAAAGGAAGCTTAAGCTTATGAATGCATCGGAATCATTCAATCATTTAGGGCTTGTTTAGGATCCTACTATGATTTTTAAAAATTGAAATGCTTTTATTGTGTAATTGTGTTATAATTTTGAATGAATTTTTTGTGTGGTAATTAAAATAAATTTGGTGTTTGTCCGTTTGGTGAAGGTAATGCGAGCCGTTTGCCCGGACATGCGCCTTCGGATCGTCGGAGGGCGGCTGGGGGCTGTCGGGGGGCGGTTCGGAGGAAGGCGGCGGGCCCCCAGAGCGAGTCGGGCCACCGAACGGAAATCTGTCCCTCCGCACCCTCTCCCTTGTCTCTCTCTCATCTCTGTTCCCGAGGTCAGAGGATGCCCGGGGGTTTCGAGGCGGCCTTGCTCTTGGCGGCCTGCTTCTCCGCCGCTGCTTTTTCCCACCGCCTCACCGCCCAGGAAGAAGGATGGCTTCCACCGCCCCCGACTTCTGTCCAAGGCGGAGCCCACCAACCGCCTCAGGAGACACAGCAGCCCTTCTCCGTAGCCTCGCAGATGATCGTTCAGACTACAAGAGACAAACGCGTTTTTGACGTACCCCAGATAGGTGAGTACCACACTTCTTCAAACAACCTTAATTTCTTTTTTTTAACCCACCAAATTTTAAAAACAAAAGAACTAAACTTCTGCCCAAATTGATAGCAAACCAAAAGTTAATAAAAAAATTATTAAGTTCATAACGTCTAAACAACCTCCAGCTAAATACATACCGCAAACAAAATGAACAATAATGCAAAAAAAATCAATTTTTCTCAAAGGGCTCGTTTTAAAATCTATTAGTAATTAAAACCTAATTAAATAAAATTTTACCTATTTCCATACCGAAAGCAATAACAAAAATTTTTCTTTAGATTAATTCGTTTAAGAGAATGTTTAACCATTTTTTTTTCCAAAGCACCTAACTTCACTGACAATATAAAAAATTTTAAAAAAAGAATCTTATTAAGTCTTTTTTTCTTATAGTACAGTTGCCAAGCACAAGCCATACATATCGTAAACAAAATAAACTATTATGAAATAAAAAATCAGTTTTTCTTGTAAGGCTCGTTCTAAAATTTATTAATAATTAAAACCTAAATAAATAAAATTTTACCTATTTCCGTACCGAAAGCAATAACAAAAATTTTTCTTTAGATTAATTCGTTTAAGAGAATGTTTAACCATTTTTTTTCCAAAGCACCTAACTTCACTGACAATATAAAAAATTTTAAAAAAAGAATCTTATTAAGTCTTTTTTTCTTATAGTACAGTTGCCAAGAACAAGCCATACATATCGTAAACAAAATAAACTATAATGAAATAAAAAATCAGTTTTTCTTGTAGGGCTCGTTCTAAAATTTATTAATAATTAAAACCTAAATAAATAAAATTTTACCTATTTCCGAACTGAATTACAAAAATTTTCTTTAAAATAATTCGTTTAAGAGAATGTTTAACCATTTTTTTCCGAAGCACTAACTACACTGACAGTATAAGAAATTTTTAAAAATTCTTATTAAGCCGTTTTTGTTATACTACATTTGCCAAGCACGTAAACAAAATAAACTATAATTCAATAAAAAAAATTCTAACGAAACCTTTTCTCATAAGCCTCGTTCTAAAATTTTGGCTAATCGTTTTGCCATTATTTTCCCACCATCGGGTAATAAACAAAGCACAAAAACTGTAAAAAAAAATTCTTTCTTTTCTGAAATGTGATGTATAAAAGATTTGTGCTTTTTTACTAAATCGGTGTTGCACGTAACAATTTGTTAATCATACATGCGAAATTAATTTTAAAAAATCACAGTAGGAACTTTTTAATAATTACTTAGAATTAGGGTTGGGGTCAGAAAAAACTCATTTTTGCACCCACTCGGAGATCTCGACGATATATTACTTCTTCTTCAGTGTCTACAGAAAACATTCTTACATGAATTTTCATGTACGTAGGTATATCACAAAAGATTGACAACTTACAGGTACTTAATAATTAATGAAACAGTTTTATCAAATAATAACAAAACTCCATCTTCAAACTATACTTGTTATTAACAACGTAAATAGGAAACTTAACTTAAAATCATCATAACAATTGTGTATCTAAAATCCTGCCTTATTGTATAAGTGCTACATATTAACTATTTATCCACATTGTCACATTCACCAAAAAATAACATATAAATCATAAATATATATGTGATTATATATATTTAATAATAATATAATAATTATTATTATTATATATGTAATAATCTCCTTAAGTAATATCTCAAGTTTTGATCATAGATATTATTTTCATCGTCGTTTAAGTTTACTTTCTACACTGTTTGTTGATCAAAATTGTTTCGAAGTTTTAAGTTTACTCTAAACAGATGATCAATAGCTTTTTTCATAAACCAAAGTTTTTGTCTCGGTTGGTTAACCAAAAAATATTCGTTTTCTATTTCGACTTTCTACATTTGAAACACGAAAGTTGATGAAAGATGGCAAATAAGTAAACTGCGACCAATATTTTCTATGTATTATGTTATTTATGCTGTCAAACGGATTTTTAATTGTTTGTTCGATGGTTCATGTTGTGCATTTTGAGATATTCAAACTAAACAAGTAAAATGGAAAGTAAGCCAACAATTTATTAATGCGCTTTTAAAAAAAAAAAATTACTAGGAAACGTTTATTAACATAGCTGTCAAGTGTTTTATCTATTTATCAGATTTCTCTTTCTTTTTTTCTTTTTTTTTTTTTTTTTTTGAAAGCATGCTTTGAGTGAACGTTGATATCGAGACAAAGTTTACTTTGGAACAAAAACAAACTTTCAGTACTTTCATTTTTATATTATTTAAAGCAAATCAAAACCGTGAATATTCCTCAATTATACTCCTATTTCAAAAATTGTGTACCTACGTTGGGTGCTATCTCGAATTTCGTCTAGCCTGGAACGGACATATACCAACTAATCGACAAGAATTAAGCAAACGCTTCGGACTTTACAAATTGTTATCAAGAACAACTTATGAACAAAAAATAATCTAAAATTTTACAAGATATGGATGTTCGGATAAGAACTGTGGGGTACCGTTAAACCACATCGACTTTGAGTCAATTCGCCGTACTACGTATCCACCACTACCGTTTACAACTCCAAATAACGTTCGTTAAAACCTTAATTCCCAACAAATTTTCCACATACCGTGAAAAACTGTGCTTACATAACACATTACCCCGATGCTTGTCCAACATTACCCATCCTCGGTAAGTCGATTGAAGCGGAATCGGCCCCAGGACCTCCGTATGAATAGTTCATAACTAACAATACGAAAACACTGGGAGAGGTTATACGCAAATGATAAATATTACATCTCCTTACATAATATATACAATTTATACAAATGGTAATAAATAAATATGTATTTTTTTAGGATTTTATCATGTTTCGAAAGTTTTCTTCATCCTCAGATTTGTCAAGCTAAACTTCTTCTATTCCAATATTTCTGTCATAGGCTTTTTCTCTTTTTTTTCCTCCCTTTTCTCATATAGTTTTAACTCGTTAAGAAACATAAAATGTTCCTGCAAAACATTTAATGATAATTTTTTTTCGCCTCAAAGAAGCCGACTCCTCATATAATTTTTTTATCCCTACTTCCTTCCCCACCGCTTTCAAATCCAAAGTATATAAACATAAAACATCTGGCACTCTAAACACGACACTCAATAATGACACATCTACACAGAAAATATACACTTTGAGCACTGAAGATGACCTCGATAAAGATCGAAACGTGTGTGGTGATTAGTGACCGTTAGTCGTTGATTATTCGTGAGATCGTGAGATGCGTTCTGGTGTGATTGTAGAAAAACATTTTCTTTATCGTGCCAACGTTTCGAACTTTATTGAGATCATCTTCAGGGCTCAAAGTGTTTGTTTTCTGCGTAATCGTGCCATTCTTGTATATCGTGTTGAGTGTGCTCAAGTGCCCAGTTGAGGACAAACACTTTGACCCCTGAAGATGATCTCAATAAAGATCGAAACGTTGGCACGATAACCTATTTCACACCAGACCTCATCTCACGATATACAAATAATCATTAAAGATAATAATAAATAAACAATAAAAATATTGTTACAGATTTTTCAAAATCACCAAAAACACTAGTAAAAATTAAAAAAATAAAATAATAAAACAACAAATACATACATATATTTCTCTTTCATCGATTCTATTAATTTTATAAATAATTTGAATTTGTCGTCAGATTTAATAATCGACAAACCCTTGACGTTTTATTTAAATTATTCTTACAGACAATCACTGTAAGTTCTAAACTCATATAAAGTTCTTTCCTTGATGTTTGTTTCTTATATAAAAAAAGTCAAAATAGAAGAGAGAAAAGCAGTGATTGAACCACTTTAATGCAATCAGAAGTACAAACAAAGCTGGAGATCCTACTAAGTACTTTGATATCGATACTCGATAAACGTTACTCTTTATTCTAAATCTTTTCATTTTTTACGACCTACTAATATTATACCCCATAGCAAAATCACATTTTTAATTCATTCGTTTTTTTCGTAAAATATCGTAAGGCTGAAACAAAAATTATCTTACAAAGCAAACCCCTACATTTAACTTTTAAAAGGTTATCTTTTTTCTAAATACAAGGTAATTCATTGTCCATTTATAAAAAACTTTCATGTATGAATTGACCCAACTAAAACGGGTTTTTTAAAATTTTATTTGTAGCGTTTAACAAAAAACTAGACAGCAGACGTGTTTTTGTTTAAACATAAAAGCATTTTTTAGAAATGATAAAGGTAGGTTGAGTGTGTAGTACTTTTTATAAAATGATGTTTCTACTCGCTGATTTATTGTTTACAACGATCCGGATTTCAATCATTAAACGCTCATCATCACGTTGAAAGAGTTACAAAAACGTCTCTTGACATGAACTTCGAATGAAAAGCTGGTTTTTAAGTCGAGTCAATTTTAAACGGATAAAAAACGCGAGATACAACACTAAATATTATCCTAATAAACACTCCAAGAAAATAATTTTAAATTAAAGATTAATTTTTACGTCAAATATGATTTAGGTACCTGTTTAAAATAGGAGGTAAATCAAAATCAATTATATTATTTATGCATCTCCATGTTTAATTTTTTTTCAAATTTCTCAAACCAACCTAGGTTCCATTTATAGAAATTGGTTAACACTGTTGTATTTATATTTAAATTGAGATGTTATGTTTCATTTAGTTAGTCCTTAAATTCAGAACATTTTTTCGATTTAGACAAGTGTAACTCTTGTTCTAATTTTTCGCTTTGTCCTGTATATTTCATATCGCAGTCATTACAATTAAGTTGCTAAACCCCAATTTTTGACAAGTTGTCAACTTTGTTTTCAGGCTGTAATAGGATTTTTTCATGTGAACACATACCTCTAAAATCTACTCAAAAACCTTCTGGTTTAAGAATTTTACTTAATTTTTCTGATATTTCTCTAAAATACAAGCAACGAAAACTTGATGATTCATATTTAATGGGTCCTCCAACCTGACGAGCGTTA